TCTGTATACAATAAACATCCACCTCCAAGTTGATTTGTAGTTATATTATGCCTAGTAATTTGATTAAATTAAAAGCAACCCATTATTTAAAGACATTTTCAAAGTTCAACTGTAATTAAACAAACCTAATAGTCGAGCAAGTAACTCAAATTTTAAAGACATTACTGTTAAAATAGTCAATTTGGGAGTACCTATCTAAAGAGGTGGTGATGAAAGGAAGTAAAACAAACTGACTTTGGATAACATTATATGAGTACATCTGTATTATAATGAATTTTATGCTTGTTTTCTTTTAAATAACCAAAAATCATACTGCATTTCTTTTTTCTTTTTTTTTTGGTGGTTGGCCAGTACAAGGATCTGAACCCTTGACCTTGGTGTTATCGGCATCACGCTCTACCAGTGAGCTAACTAACAGGCCAACGCATTTTTAAAAATATATATAACTCCTGATGGCAAGGGAGATAGACTGGCATGAAAGTTGCAAAGTTAAGCCAGACTGGGTATAGACTTTTTTTATCCAGATAACTGTAAACACAATTTACTATTAACCACTTTTGATAATCCTTAAAAGTTTAAACCAGGGCTGGCAGGTTAGCTCATTTGGTTAAGAGTATGGTATTGATAACACCAAGGTCCACGGTTTGATCCCTGTACCGCCCAGACACCACCATCAAAAATAAATAAATAAATAAATAAATAATATATGTTTTACGTTAAGACTTTACCATAGAGGTTTATACTCAGTTATATATAAAAATGATTTTCTTTAAACAAGTACATCAGAACTTAAGAAGCCAAATGAATAGTCTCCTTATCACATAATTATTTTAATAGCCAGTTTATGACCCGAAGGAAGTCTGACAAATTTCATGGTTACATACCACCTCTGATACAGCTTAGTCACCAGATTTAGTTTTACATGATCATTTCCTAAGAAAAATTAAAACACGACAAGCTTTAAGAGAAATTTCAAAAGAAGTTTTTAAAATAATTTAAGCAATGGCAGTATGTATTGGAAAAACCATATAAATTTCCAAGGTTAATAGGTAAAGGGAGCAAAAGTATGAGAACCTTTGAAAATTGTGGCACACAGCCTTAGAAATGCCTCCGTAATCCCAGAAAGCATCAGAGTACTGGACAAAAAATAGAAAGTACTGTTTAAACAATGGCCAAAAACATCTATCCAAGTCAATTTAGGCCCCAATTACTATTTAAAGCAGAAGAGTTAATGACACATCCTAGAAATATTTTATGAAAAATGGCTAAAATTATAAAGTTGTATAACTGCGTACTTTCCAGTAATGCTGGGGGGGGGGGGGG